ATCTCTCTCTCCCCCTCTCTCTCTCTCTCTCTCTCTCTCTCTCTCTCTCTCTCTCTCTCACACACACACACAAACATACACATACCTTACAATATCCTCAAACGGTTGATATCTTTTCATACTAAAGGTTAACACTCATACTCACATACACATATCCACGAATACGCACACATATCTCCACAGCCTCACAAGTTTCAGCACCCAAACACGCACCCCAAACACACACATATAAACATCCATGTACATACGCACACACTCATACTGACATCCTGAACTCACTTGGCGGGTAGGTGGTCTGTTGATGACGTCACCAAAAGCATCCTGAAAGTGTGCCAGGTCGGGTACCAAGAGGAATGCCAGACCAAAGATGACGCCAATCTTGCATAAACTGACCAAGATGTAGCATTTGGTTCTGCATCGATGGAGGGCATCCTTGAATTGTTTGATAGGCACATACAGGCAGCCAATTCGCAAGTCCTGGAGACAGTGAATCGGATTCCATGTCAGACAGTGTCATAAATTTAGGTAAGCTGTGCTGTTGGAGTGCGTGGAGGAATATTTCTTGGATGATAGTCAGGCTTGTAGAAGGAGAGGCGAGTTGAAGTTACTGTTACCTTGAGTTTGTTGTACAGAAAAAAAAAAGCACAAAGAAGATGGTGGAAATCTCAACTCTATGCCGTGGGTAAGTTGAAAATGAACGTTTGCTTTAAAGAAGTATACAAGTCTGAAGGGAATGGGGAATGAAAAATCGAGAACAAATGTATCTCCATCTTTCTGCTGGGACACATACATTGTATCCCTCTGTGAGCCCAGGTTGGCAGTCTGCCACCGTATTGATCTCGAATGTGTCGGTTGGGGTGTGGAACATCTATAATTACAATGATAATTACAATGATAATTACAATGATAATTACAATGATAATTACAATGATAATTACAATGACATTTAAAATTACAATAACAATTCATTATGGTTTTGGTACTTACGTTGTCGCAGAAGTTCTCCCACCATTTCACCGAGATGAGCAGCAAAGAGAGTGGAATCTCCCAGGACATGTCGGACAGGGAGTACGTGTTTTGCCACGCAGATCCTTGTGAGCTGCTGGAAGCTGCTGGAAAAAAATATTTTACAAGAACGTGTAATTATAAAAGTCTTTGGTTTATTTGAGTTTTTGAAAGGTAGGTTGTTGTGAGAAAGTTTTATTGCAGACAACCACACAATATACGAAACATACAACCCCACTTCCAAGACCAAATAATATTAGAGAGAGAAAGGAAGGGAGAGAAAGAGAGACAGAGAGAGAGAGAGCGAGAGAGAGAGAGAGAGAGAGC